ATATATATATATATATATATATATATATATATATATATATATATATATATATATGGCGTTTTAAACCTTTCCAACACTCTTGCAGTATTCTAAACAATGTTTCTAAAACGCTCTAAAAGAACACAGAAGGTCATGATTTCAGCTCTCTCCCTCCTCTGCTCTTTGCCACTTGCAAGCGTTCTTGGCCACGCCCACTACTCCACTCTGCACAGAGATCAGCTGATCAGCTGCAGCAGGAAGCTTATCCTGCAGCTCTGGGCTGCACAAAGGTGCAGCAGGTACTAAATAATTTAAAATAATTTATTTTAAATAAAAATTCCATGCCGATTGTGCTGCTCATCCATCAATCAGCCAATTGTGTGTCATGTCCAATCTTATTTTGAAAGAATAAGATGGAGCGAGTTCACGCTAAACGAACCGCGAAGTAGCGAGGGATTACTGTTTTTTTGTTTTATTTTGTTTTTGTGGAAAAAAAGCTACCAAATCACATTTTATTTTCTATACTAACAATATGTTTTTCTTAACTTGATATTTTTTCCTATAGTGGTGCAGAGAGCAAGAGAGGATGAAAATGCACAAACACACAACAACTAGATGTCTTGGGGTTACTTTGAGCAGTACATTGATAACAAGGTTTTTGGAGGTGTTAGTCACTGGCACCAGTCTCAATACCACTCCTGAAGAATTTAAAACTTGCGTGTCCCTGTACATGGCTTGCCTTGGCTATCCACGACTGAGGATGTACTGGGCTTCAAAGACTAGTGACCCCATCACTGATGAGACTATGACAAGAAATAGATTCTTCAAGCTCAGAAGCTCACTCAAAGTCACAAATGATCTGAATGTGTCTGAGGATAAAAAGAATGATGTTCTTTGGAAAGTTAGACTTTTGCTGAAAAAAAAAAACCCAACGTTGCCGTAAACTACTAAGACCGAGAAATGTATCTGCAGATGAACAAATGACTCCTTTCACAGGTCATTTTCATGTATGTCAATCTGTCCCTGGCAAACCAAATCCAACTGGACTTAGTCTTTGGTCTTGCCAGTCCAAATTGTTGGGTTTTAGACTTTGAAGCAGGAAAAACACATTTGAAGATGAGAACCTGGGAATTGGAGGAAACGCAGTGCTTCGGATGACCGAAAAGGAACTCATCTTTATGTTGACAGGTACTTCACCTTAGTTAAATTACTTGATGTCCTACAGGCAAAGTGCCTAATTGCAACATGAACTGTGATGAAAAACAGACTCCCAGCAGAAAGTAACAGAGAAATTTCAAGAGATCATCAGCTACAACAGAAGGGAAGAGGAAATTTTGAGATTATTATA